ACATATACATATACATACACACACACACACACACACACACACATACATACATACATACATACATACATACATACATACATACACACCCTGTTTCCCCGAAAATAAGACCTAGTGCTATTTTTCAAGATTCCTGTAATACAAGACCTACCCCGAAAATAAGACCTAGTTTGGTGGTAGCATGTGAGGGGGAACTTGAAGAGCAGGAGAGATGGTATCAGCTTGCAGGGACACACTGTATTAAGGGGATGACGGGACTCCCTCCGCCCAGCGCATTGACAGGGAGCACTCCAGTACCATACTTCACCAACTGCTGTCCCCCTGAAGGCACTGCCTAATGTAGTGGTACTGTAATGTGTACCTCGCTGTCCACTGTCTGATGTCCCCATTGCTGCACCTCTTATACCACTGCCCCTAATAGCAAAGGAAGCCGGCGCTGTAGAAAGCAAGGCTGCGGCGGCGGAGGGAGCAGAGCCGCATTAGCCGATACTTCCTCTATAGCGGCAGAAGATGATAAAACCTCATTAGTATGATGAGCTAATAAATTGTATGTCAAGTAACAATATGTCTGGATATAAAAGTGAGCTGTGTAATATTTCTGATGAGCGGTCATGTGACTCCTATGCCATTTCTCCATCCCTCTCTTTTAGGGGGACCGACAGTTGCGTCAGGAAGTCTTGCAGCGCCAGCACTTGCAGGAGGAGCTCGATGAGCAGAGGCTGCTGATTGATGCGCTTACAGCTGAAATTCTCTCCATGAAAGAAAACCGCTCTATGTCTTCGGTAATCTCAGATCCCATTTTTGGTATAAGTTCCGGGTGGACTTGTTGAGTATATACCTGGAGGAGGGAGCGTTCCTAGGCAGACGGCATTTGCATGCAGACCACCCTAAGTAATACCCACATGTGGTGCTGATCCTCAATGATTGAGGTGCAGTCAGGTTACAGAGGAAAAGGCTAGATGATGCTGGGTGTCTTCCAGCCAGGAATTGAGGTGGGCTCTATCTGACTTGCTGCAGCGTCTAATGCACATTGGGAGAAGCTCACAGTGTGCAGTGATATCAGAGGAAGCTATTTCAGACCACGAGAAGAGCCGGGACAACCGTGCAAGACTGAAGGGAAGGCCGGTCAGATTTAATATACATGTATAAAAGAAGTTTCGGAGGACCTTTGAGCTCAGGTACTTCTTCTTTTATAGATGAGGAGTAAACAGTCTGTATATGCAGCACAGAGCATATCAGGAGGAAAGTAATTGGAGCCCCTCGAAGGCAGAGACATGTGCTGCCACAGGTGGGCAGTATGTCACCACAGTTATGTGGGAATGGAGGGATGTTAGAAGACAGAGATAATGGGAGGAGAAAATTGTTCCGTGCAGAGATGTTGATTAGATGGTGGAAAGAGCCCTGACTTCCAGCAGCATAGACCGTTTATGAAGACGAATGAGCTGATCTCTTGGGGTTACATGTCCATCAGGTGATGGGCGAAAAGTAGAAATTTCATTAGAGAGACTTTAATGGAGGATGGAACAGAGTCCCCAAAAAGAAAAGATTATTGGAGGAGAGAAGCATTAGATAGTGGAAGGAACAGAGTCCTCCAGCAGAGTATTTCAGGAGAGGAGAGTTAGAGGAGCGAGCAGAGTCCGCCAGCAGTACGTGGTATTTCAGGAGAGGAGAGTTAGAGGAGCGAGCAGAGTCTGCCAGCAGTACGTGGTATTTCAGGAGAGGAGCGAGCAGAGTCTGCCAGCAGTACGTGGTATTTCAGTAGAGGAGAGTTAGAGGAGCGAGCAGAGTCCTCCAGCAGAGTATTTCAGGAGAGGAGAGTTAGAGGAGCGAGCAGAGTCCGCCAGCAGAGTATTTCAGGAGAGGAGAGTTAGAGGAGCGAGCAGAGTCCTCCAGCAGAGTATTTCAGGAGAGGAGAGTTAGAGGAGCGAGCAGAGTCCTCCAGCAGAGTATTTCAGGAGAGGAGAGTTAGAGGAGCGAGCAGAGTCCTCCAGCAGAGTATTTCAGGAGAGGAGAGTTAGAGGAGCGAGCAGAGTCTGCCAGCAGTACATGGTATTTCAGGAGCGGAGAGTAAAAACAAAATCCAAAGCAGTAGAGTCTTCCAGCAATACAGAGTATTTCAGGGTAGAAATGTTACAGGAAGGAGCAGAGACCTCCAGCAGTGCAGAGCATTTCAGGAGAGGAGAGTTGGAGGAAGGAGCAAAGTCTACCAGCTGTACATGGTATTTCAGGAGAGGAGAGTTAGAAAAAAACCATAGAGAAGAGTCTTCCAGCAGTGCAGAGTATTTCAGGAGAGGAGAGTTAGAGGAAGGAGCAGAATCGGATTATTCCTGTGTTGCTACTTACCATTGGGAACGATTATACAGCCTCATTGATTGATTTATAGGGCCTTGTTGCACCTCATCCTTGATGACTACAGGCCTGCTGCAGAATGCACGGAAATGGGCACAAACGGCTTTTGGATTTGATCTCCTCTCTTGTTTTCACAGATGAGTCCGCAGTCCGTGTCTGATCATTCGCAGTCTCCCCCGGTGGGAACACTAAGAGCTCCTCCTGCAGCTAAACCGGAGCAGAGAAAAACCTCAACAAGTTCATTGTCTGCCCTGAGTGCACTGAGTGTCGTGACTGAGCTCGGTGAGTTATTTTATATAGCGCAGTCTTCTCCCGTGGTGCTGTATACAAAGAAAGGTAACACGCTACAAAACAGAAAATGTTCCAAACTAGGGTACGTGCAATTTGTTTAGCAAAACACATTGGGAAGCCATAGATGAGAGGGATGTGCACATACACGCTTCCAATATAGGGCAACCTTTCTCAATGCTTTTACCAGAGAGGATCCTTTTGAAATGACTTTCAGGTCTCAGGGAACCAGGTAGGAGAGCGCCGTGGCCGGCCGATGTCTGTCCTCCCACACCGCTCAGCCGCCTATCACAGTCCGGCAGAGCGGAGTGGGGGCGGAGACAGCCCACGCTGTCACAGGAGGCTGAGCTCTCCTCCTCGCACCGCTCCCTCAGTCTCCTGTGACAGCGCGTCAGAGAGGAGGCGGGTAGAAGCAGTCAGTGATCGCTGAATGTTTGTGAATAATTGAGGACATGGTATGGTTACTGTATCCTCAATTATGAATGAATGGGAAGTCATCTACATCACCTCCTGCCCATTCATAACTGTGGTTATAGTAAACATACTCTTATCAATGAACAGGAACACTCATAAAGGATTCCTGTTCCTTTTATGACGGCATACAGAAAAAGAGATTGAGGACTCTGTGCTCTCAATCTCTTTTTTTCTATTTTAAAAGGGAAATATCAGGGGTCTGTTTAGACCACCAATATTTCCCCAAAGCCCCTAAAAGTTAAGTAAAAAAATAAAAATATTTAATAAAAAATGAATTAATAAAAATGATAAAAATATTTAAGAAATTTGAAAAATTTCCCACAAAAACGTGTGGGGGTGGGGGGTAGAGTTCCAGTGGATGTTTATATAATGGGGGGGAATTTCTGCCCTGGGCGCCGATAACTCTGGTTACGCCACTGCAGGGAACCCTTGCTAATCAATCATTTCTGGATTATGAACAGCTCCCGGTACATTAAGTTAAAGCAGGCCTTCTAGCAAGCATAAAAGTATGCCTCATGTCATTCCTTCCCTTGCCCCCTCACCAAAATGCTTGCAGGCCTTCTCATTCCTTTCCTAGGTTAGGGTGATGTGTGCATTGCCCACTCGCTGCCTCCTGGGATAATGGGATAAATACAATACATATCCCAGGAAGCATTACTTTCCTCCACCCACATGGCAACATGTAAACAAATAATACGACGTCAGAGCTCACACAGGGTCTCGCACATGCGCAAAGGGGGGGGACGGACGTGTAGTTGGAGAGGTCAACGCTGTGCTGCTGGGCGGCATCAAAGCACCTAAGGTACAGGGACAGTTAAAGTTCCTCTTGAAGACATAGGACTAAATAGAAGCATAAAGAAGGGTATATTGGGGGGTCAGTGGGAGGAATGCTCCTTACATTGGGGGTCAGTGGGCAGAATACCCCTTACATTGGGGGTCAGTGGGAGGAATGCCCCTTACATTGGTAGTCCAGCGGGAGGAATGCCCCTTGCATTGGTAGTCCAGCGGGAGGAATGCCCCTTGCGTTGGTTTTCCAGTGGGAGGAATGCCCCTTGCGTTGGGGGTCCAGCGGGAGGAATGCCCCTTGCGTTGGGGGTCCAGCGGGAGGAATGCCCCTTGCGTTGGGGGTCCAGCGGGGGGAATGCCGGGTCCAGCGGGAGGAATGCCCCTTGCGTTGGGGGTCCAGCCAGTAGAATGTCTGTCTGGTATAGAAGAATAGGAAGATTTACTGGTGTCAGTGGTTACATACCCGAGAGGTAAAATTGCTTATTGTTTAAAGGAGAACTATAAGGTGAGTGAAAATCACTCCTCCTCATAGTTCGAGCCGACGTGTGACATCGATAGATCGGGAGGTGAAGGAACACATACCGTCGCTCGCTCACTTCTCGATCCTGTCCCTGCAGAGAGCCGTGACCGTCACTCACGGCTCCCTGCAGGGATTCCCCCCCTCCCCTGTCCGATCCTCCAGCGCTGACTGGCAGAGCCAGCTGTCAATCACACAGATGGTTGGATCTCGACTAATGTCGGGATCCGTCTTGGTATACCTCGAGCTACTGAGCTTTGGGTCATGGGAGGACGCTAGTTTGTGTCCTCCCGTGACCCTTAGGAGAACTATGGGGAAAAGCCCTGAGCCCATAGTTCTCCTTTAAGGATACCCTAACAGTTTGTGGGGGAACCCCGGCTGAGAGAGGCTTTTTTTTTCTTCTGAGGTAGAAATAAACCAGAATAGAGGTGCCTGGGTGATGATGAAGTGTTAGATATTTTAGCATTTTACTTGTATTATCTGTGAGGGTGAAGCAGTCTGGTCCAGAGGTCCCTATGGAAAGCATTGGTCTGTATCATGGCTGTTACTGACTTTCAGCAGAGGAAGAAGTAGTGTGTCCATCGCTGGAGGAACTAATATTTACCTTCTTGAGTTGAAGTTTTGCCAGGAGTTTCACTTCCAGTTCAGCTACGTTATTGTATATCAGGTCACTTTGGAGTGTGTTTAGCTTGATTTCTCTCCTCTGTTCGAAGGTTCAGTGTTCAGCTTTGCAGTGCAGATATTACAGGTCGGCCGTGTTGGCTCGTCTGTCTCACTCAGTTTAGTATTGATTTTCCCGACACTGGTAATGGGCCGGATAAGTTCTGCGGCTCTAGCTTTCCATTAAGATGCCACTTTACTTGATACGGATGTGTCAGTGTGGAGCATGACGGAGCGGAGGAGAGGTACTTGTATTGCCGCTGTCCTCTCCATTATGTCTGCATGTAATCACTCGTTCACTATGCGCTTTATTGCTGTGCTGCCTGAACACACGCTGCCTTTGCAGCAACATATTCAAATGAATATCTTGCATTTCTTTTCCAAGCTCGGGTCGTTGAGTTAAGGCCTAATGCTCGTTATTTATTATAATAGATTCTGCCTCGAGTCATGAATCTTTTACATTCTCCTAATGTCTGTTGTAGGTCTGAAAGATGTGGAGGAAGAAAGGGACTCGCCAGCTCCCCATGCTGACAAACCTGCGGAACAGGACGTGAGCTTTCTGCTTGGTTTTCAGCCGGCCGTCTTGTTGTCTCCACCCCGGCAGAGAACTCGTGAGGAGTACAGTAAGCAGTATTCATGTATGTACCCCGTGTGTGACTTCTGCAGTGCTAAGAGAACAAGTATGTCTGCTTATACATGGGCATATCTTAGAGGGTTG